GCGGAGACCTATGAATACCCTCCGGTGGCGGATAGGCGCGGCCAAGTCCGCGGCCGCGGACAAGACTGAAAGCCCGCGGACGCGTCCACGCGGACACGTGGCTTTGGTGCCACGTAGCAGCCAGAGAGGAGGGGGTCTCGGGATTCGGGAACCGCATTCGATGGTGCGACCCTTGCTCCACCCCCGCACAAAAAAAAAAAAGGAAAAAAAACATCTTTTGGTTGGGGGGGTTGGGCAGCGAACGAGGAGAAATGAAAGAAAAGAAAAATGAACTCGTTTTTTTTCTTTTCTTTTCTTTTTTCGTTGATTGATTGATTGATTGATTGATTGATTTTTTTGATTTTGCTTTTTTTTTAATTGATTGATTGATTGATTTTTTTGATTTTGCTTTTTTTTTAATTGATTGATTGAGTGGTGGGGGAGGGGTCGCCCCTTTTTTCCCCCTTTTTCCCGCACCCCGCCAACACACCCCGCTGCACCGCCCCCCCGCCACCCGCCACCCACCTGCGACAACGTGCACGCCCTGTCTGTGAACTGTGGACGCAGTGGACTGTGGACACACAGAGAAAAGAAAATCAGGAAAAAAAATAAAATGAAACAAAACGAAAAAAAACAAACGAAAACAGAGATGTGCACACACATGCACCGTGCAACTTGGAGCAACCCATAACCGTCTTGGACAGTGACCGCCCACTGCCCGCCGGTGCCACCACATTACAAAAGAGTGTGGCACCGAAGGCTTGCACATCTGTTCAGCAAGCCTTCAGTCTCACGTGTGGGTCAGTGACTTAGTGCCACAGTGCCGCCGAGTCGGCACGTCACACGAGGCTTGCAGGACGAGTGTTGGTGATGTGCTGAAGAGGCCTCCACGTCGCGTGCGCTTGTCACAAGTTGGCAGCACCGCCTTGCGCGGTGAGGTGAGCACTGAGCAGTGAGCACAACTGTGTAACCTGCACCTTTTTTTTTTTTTTTTTTTTTTGCATATCTTGTGATAAAACAGAATGAGAAGAATGATGGTTTCTGAATTTCCGTTCATGGAGTGGATGCCTTGCCGAGATTCGCGCATTCTGCTGGGTTTTGTTAGTCTGTCTGTGTGCGATTTTTTTTTTTTTTTTTTTTTTTCTTTGGAATGACCCGTCGGAAAACATACTGGAATCAGGGGCCTGGACCCACTAGCAAGGTATTCTACCACGCCGTTCAGGATTTCGATCACGTGTGGCATCGAGTGACTCAGTACGGTCGTTGAATAGATCGGATCTCGACGGCCTGGTTGTTTCCAAGCGGGGACTGTAAAGATGCCCACCTCTCGTCCAATGAGATGCGTTGAAAAAAAAAAAAAACGAAGTTGGACTAACTTGGACATGATAGCTCGTGGCTTTGCGTGGGCGGGAAGCTAGGATTTTATGGGCTCTAAAGGGGGGGGTTGATTTCCAGACTTCGGTTTTTTTTTTTTTTGGCTCTGAGAAATAGAACTTGAAATGTGAAATTCGAATATTGTGGTGCATCTGACAGGAACACTTCCGCGTCTGTCGGATGGCCTGCTAAAGGCATCATGAGATACATCGCGAGGAATGCATCCCAAAACCCATTACTTGTTCATCCTCGTGAATGTGTTCGTGGACACATTTTATTGCCATGGTACATCACTATGAAGACTTACGTGAAGGAGATCGTACCAACCCATGAATTCGGGTGCACAGCTGTTCTTCATGGTTTTATGTCCTATTTCAATTCATTTTAAATCAGAAAAATATCAATTCATGCAAATAAAAAATCACTTTGTATTTTCCAAAAAACCATAAAACTGTGTCACACGTCGTAGAATACTTCGCTAGTGGGTCCAGGCCCCAGGGCGAATCTCAGCGGTTCTGGGGCCTGGGCTCGCTAGCAAATTTTTTTTTTTTTTTTTTTTTTTTTTTTTT